TATATATATATATATATATATATATATATGCGGTTAGAATATTAAAAAACCGTCAAAGAAAGGAATTGTCGTTGTCTTGATTGAATTGGCCGAAAATAATAATAGGAAATATCCGCTCTTTGTCTCCTTGTAAAAACATGTTGCAATTTTCTACATATTCTCATTATACAATTCCTATTCATGGACATTCGATGCTAACATTTCTAGAAAAATCACCATTTCCATCTTTTATTTTGATTCTTCTGGCAACCTCTTAGAAGTATTTATGACCTCCAGTATTATGTTATTCTATTATATTCCTCTAATTGGAAAGTGCAAGATGTAACCATTTCTTAAGGGTTGTTGTAGTCTATGAATCAAGAGGGACAGAGGAGAGATTCAGTATCTTTTACTTAATCAATGGGATCTGTTCTTCCAGAATCCTCTTCTTTTTCTCAGGGTTGTTTTGATCTTGGGCTGCCTATAAATCCCATAGTTATCAACTTTCTCTGGTGTGTATTAATTATTAAGTTTGAAACGTTTTATACATTCTGTCTATCATGTGGCGTTTCCTAAAATACCCAGGAGTGAAAATACTATTTAGATCACGCCTGAGTCTCAACTTAGTATCAAAAATGTAAATAACTTACTCCCCTCATTATTATATTTCTCATCTAACTTTTGAAGAGGCCCAGTACAATATATTAAACTTGTCCGAGTTACTGATTGCTTCGAGCAAATATTAATAGCAGCAATGGATAGCTAATCAGGCTAATTTATAAATATCCATTTAGACTTATGCATATTTGCAAATGAATCGAAACATGACTAGCTCATAATGTAAGATAGAATTAAAGGCACATTAATCAAGTACTACTATATGGGAGAAACAGTCGTTAGTGGATGAAAGCTAATTTATAGCAGGAGTTGTCTGTAATGACAAATAGCTTAATTAGAACCTCAAATTGGTGGAAATCATGTAAAATATTGATGACAAAAAAATCCATTTGAAATTACACTTTAGCAAACAGACGATTTGATAGGGCGAAAGTTGCTGCTCTGATAGCGATAGGTAGGTAGAACATTTCCCCAAATATTAGCACAATTGAAAGATAATTAAATCCTGATGATAAGTTTCATTCCATCATGTAAGAGTGATTATGGGCATGCATGTGATTACTATCACAAACACTAATTAATCCTCAACCAGCAAGTGTTTTTTTTTGAAAAAAGAACAATATGGTAAAATTTGTCGTCATTGTTCTAGATTAAAGATAATTGGTCAATACCCATCCGGGGAAAAATGTATGGATGGTTAAAAAATGTTAGCAATAACTAGGCGGCCAGTCAACAGAGTATTAGGATGAAAAATTAATATCAATCATTGAGACTATAATATCGCTAAGCAACTTAAGCATATTCCATGATACAAGACTAAAAAGTGCTTACTCTATCAACGAAAAATTTTGCATGCCATTTGCTTCTAATGAAGGCCTGCCAGGCGACACGGTACCAGAAGCTTGTGCAGCATACATGCTCCCGTCTACCATCTTAGCAGCCAAAAGCTCGGTTCTGGTCTCACCATGATTTGGAGTGGTTGAAAAATCATCCTTACCATCGGCACAAGACAATCCTTCGGCACTTTGACGACGGCGACACCCAGCACCAGATGCTGATCGAGAAGATCTGCTTGCACGACAACGATGGGCTTGGTGTTGATGGCTATGGTAGTGAGCGTGGTGAATGTTGTGATGGTGAGGATGATGCTGCTGATGGTGGCCAGACTGCAACAGATTAGGAGTATGTGAATAGTAATTATTATGATGATTATGATGATCGCATCGAGAGGATTGATGACTGAGGTCATTGGTGTTGAAAGCCATCGCCTGAGAGGATAAAATATGAGTAGGGCTCATTAAGGAGCAAGGCTGAAGGCCTGTTTGGCCCATGTCATGCTGACACGTATTAACAGAAGGACCATGTTCAGTGGGGGCTGAACGACTCATCTCG